GCCGCGTGTCCGAGTGCACAGCGGCACCATCTCGTCCCCGCGGGAGCTCCGCTTCAGAGAGGACCTATCCGGCCACCGCCGTCGACCCCGTCAGCCGCAGGGCCTGAGCGCCCCTGGGCATTCATTCGGGCAGTGCCGTGGGCGGACCACCACCAGCGGGGCCACCACACCCCCTCCTGGAAATCGAGCAGGGACGGGGGTCGGGCATCGAAGAGGCTCTGGACCTCCTCTGGGCGTCCTTGTGGGTCCCTGGAGGGGGGGGTCCCGCGAGATCCGGTTCCGGGAGGCGGTGGCGGCCCTCTCTCTCCCGGGTGGCCGACCCTGGAACTGCCTGGCCCAGGCAGGCCTACGGCCCGACCGAGGGATGGGATCGAGGTCGCTTCGGAGAGGGGTACGCTGGTGCTCCTCGTGCTGGCCGGATGCTTTCTGTGCACCCCAGGGAGGGCACCCTTGGATGATCTGTGTGGTCTGGCCGACGGAGGGCCTCATGTTCTTGAGGGATGTTATTCTCGGCCGGATGGCGATGGGGGGATCAGGACATGGGGGGATGAGTATCCGGTACCGCTTTGTTGGGGTACAATGTGTACCTTCTCTGCGGGTTGCAAGTACAAATTGTACCTTCTCACCCCCGTTAACATCCTCGCACATGTCGCGGATGTTGTCAAAAGTACAATTTGTAACTTGTCTGCGTGGCGTTGGTACAAATTGTACCTTCTCCGTGGGGCGTAGGTACAACTTGTACCTCGGTTGCGCCTCTCTCCCCATCTGGACTTATCCCCCCCCCATGTGCATCCCGCCAATATTCTGGCCTAAGCTTAAGTCGGGCATGTCCCTCTACAAGATGAACCTTCAAGAATAGTCAAGCAATAGTCTGGGGGCGTTTACTCGGCCTCTTTTTGGGTAGTTTTGGGTGGTTTTTATTTCACTGTCTCTGTTGTCCTTCCGACGTCCCCCTGCAGCGTGAGGATCAATCGCTCCAGAGCGTTCTGGGAAGGCTTGCAGAGCGTCCTGGAGCGCCCAGAGCCCTGAGACGGCCGCTGCGCCCGATAACATCCTCCAGGCCCGCCAGCTCTTGGTTCTCATGCAGTCAGGCAGTCTCCCGTTGGAGGAGGAGGAGGAGGAGGAGGAGGAGGAGGAGGAGGAGGGAGTCAGGCAGTCAGGAGGAGGAGGAGGAGGAGGAGGAGGAGGAGGAGGAGGGAGTGAGGGAGGAGGGAGGAGGGGGGAGGGCGGAGGGGCAGGAAGAGGAGGGAGGAAGAGGAGGGAGGAGGAGGATGGAGGAGGAGGAGGGAGGAACAGCGATCCCCATAATTACGACCCCCTGCGGCTGCGTTGGAGTGAGAGGTTCTCCGATTGATCCTCGTGCTGGTTTCGTTTGAAACCTCGGCATCTGCCTTGCCGTACAGTCAACCCGCATAGTAAGGATGAGCAATCTTCCAAGGTTACTATTGCATCCTTCCCCATCAGCCCATCGTTGGCCGCCTCCGCGCCCCGCCCGCAAATTGTCGGCATGGCCTTCCAAGGCCCTCGCATCCTTATCGTGCGTCCTTCTTATACGGGTTGACTGTAACACGGCTTTCAGCGCGCGTGGTGAATTGGGATGTAGCCCCGGGAGGAGCGCAAGAATGACCGCGCTGTGCGCGTCGCGGCCTGGGCCGAAAAGGCTGCCCGTCTCCAGGGCGGCACCAGAAATCTGCCAGAATTTGTCGCGACGCACTTGACACGCCGTGCCCGTTGCGCATTGTGCAACACTTTCAAATGTTTGGTGCCGTTTTCCAATATGCGCCCGAAGAGTTCGGGCGCTGGGCGCCACAAAGCCACACGGATATCACAAAAATTGAGGGGTGTGGAGGGCGAGGCACCAATTCAGCCCCCTCATTCTCCTTGGCCAACACGCGCTGCCAAATGGCTGCCTCAGCGCAGATGGCCTGACATCTCGGAGCTCGGTCGGCAACGCGCGCAAGTCACGAGCCAAACCTTCGCGCTTGCCCCCGGATGGAATCGAGCCACTCCTCTGGGGTGACAGATTCCCTGGAGCTTCCCTGGGCCGAGGAAGCTGCGAAACCCGGCGAGGTCGTGACGGACCTGCGCCGGCGGACCATTGCCGACCGGCGAAGCCTCAAGACAGCAGGCGGAGCCTGTGCTTAACAGGCGGCCTCTGCACAGCTGCTCGAAGCTGCGCCTCGGACACGTGGAGTTCGCCATGGCTCGCTGCAGCGTGAGAAGCCGTGGTGGGCTTGTCATGTAGTTGCCTCCTCCTCCTCCTCCTCCTCGTCCTCATCCTCCTCCTCCTAATCCTCCTCCTCCTCCTCCTCCTCCTCCTCCTCCTCCTCCTCCTCCTCCTCCTCCTCCTCCTCCTCCTCTTGACTGTCAGGAGCGTTTACATAGCGTGTCGCGCCGCCGGTTCTGGCCCACCATGCTTCGGCGCGACACGCTATGAATGTCCCAGTCCCCAAGCGCCGCCGCTGCGACACGCTCAGCGGAAGTTCCCGACCGTAGGGGCCCGCTCCTAGTCATCGCCCGGCTGCGGGACGTCTTGCGCGGTGCACAGCGCCTGCCACAAGTGAAAGAGAGAGGATGCGTGCCTCAAGCAGGGTCGCAGGCAGGGCCCGACGAGCAGCAGAAGCGGGCCCTTCCAGAGTCCAGGTCTGTGGGTTCGCGGCCTCGTACGGGAACATAACGCGACAACGTGTGCTCGTGGCCCTCCTCGTCTGCTCGTCTTCCTCCTCCCCCGCGTCGTTGTCCTGGTCTCGGCCTCTTCGTCCTCCTCGAAACGCGTTCAAGCGTGTGTTGCCATGGCAGCCGGCGGGCTTGTTGCATTCGAGTGAAAGCCGAGAGTACGCCACGGGTCAGTCCGTTCCATCAATTGACAGGTTCTTTCGTCGGAAAAAGACTTGACAGCTCACAGCTTGAAGACCTTGACAGGAGGTCCGGCGGAATATCCATACGTCGAGGTGTTCCAGGAAAGGCTTGATGGCCGGAGCCTTGCTCGGCTGCAGCGCGGGAAAAGCGATCCCATCTTTGGAGTCTAGGGGGAATTGGGACGTGGCCACGGTGTGCGAGCGATAGGTTCGGCATCGAGGCGATGGACGGATGCAAGATCAACGTTAGCGGAGGCACGGTGATGACGTCAGCGCGCGGAACGAGAGTATCTGGCAACAGAAGGTTCCAGGACGTGGGGAGAAATGTTTCTGCACAGCCTTGGCACAGCACATCTGAAGAAAAATGTTCTCGAATGTGTGCTTCTCTTTCCCGCGCGCCCGCCACATCAGAACATTTGCTCTGGAATGTGCAGGCAGTCGGTGCGTATTGCCTGATAGGGAAGGCAGCAATGAGGGCAACGGTGTTTGCGCCACTGCAGCTTGGGCGATACACAGGGTGGCAGCTCAGAGGAATAGGGAGGCGACACCTGCCAGCCAGAGGATGTGAGGAGTCGCGGATCACGAAGTCACCAGCCCATCATCATGGCATCTTGCGCGCGGTGGCTCAAGCGCTGCGCCACAGCGCCCAGGTTGCGCCATGATGAAAGGCCATGCCCTGCACGGTCCCGCAGAAGAGGACGAGGAGGAGTGCTTGTTGCCGAAGAAGCCGGGCGTGAAGAAGCTCGGCGAGGAGAAGAAGGATCAGTTGCGCGTAAGAGTGACCCTTCGCCAGAGCGACCTTTGGTGCGGGCCCACAGGGGCCCCGCTGGCAGGCACCTGGCCGGCGCGCGTGCCTGGCGTGGGTTCGACCGCCCCCGCGCTCCCCAGAGCTGCGCACCAGAGGCCCCTCTTGCGCTGGGCCGCCCGTGCGCGCAGCCGAAAGGAGAAGAGGCCCGCCGCTGCGACGAAGGGCGGCAATGCCTGCAACCTCCCCTGGTTCGGCTCCTGGAGCTCGGGCGAGCGGGCCCGGGCACATGCACCGATCCCGGCCAGGCCCGTCCCAGGGCCCACGATCGGTGCAGATGCCCCCCATGGCCAAGCCCACGAAGGCGTAGGCACCGATCCTGGGCTCAGGGCGGGCCTGGCCAGAATCGGTGTATGTGCATATCCTCCCCCTCCTCCTCCTCCTCCTCCTCCTCCTCCTCCTGCTCCTCCTCCTCCTCCTCCTCCTCCTCCTGCTCTTCCTCCAGCTCCTCCTCCTGCTCCTCGTGCTCCTCCTCCTCCTCCTCCTGCTCCTCCTCCTCCCCCTCCTCCTCCTCCTCCTCCTCCTCCTCCTCCTCCTCCTCCTCCTCTCGGGGGCCCCCAAACGGGGTGGTGACCACACCGTGCGGTGAGTCGGGGGGGATTCGGAGTCACCGCACGGTTTTGGGACTCGGGTCGTTCTCCGAGGACGTCTCGGGCGACAGGGGCCTCCAGGGTCCCAAGACCGTGCGGTGACGGACCGTGCAGTGAGGTCTTGGGGGATTTCGAGGTCACCGCACGGTCCGTCACCGCACCGTTTCGGGACTCCAAATCCTCCTCCTCCTCCTCCTCCTCCTCCTCCTCCCCCTCCTCCTGCCTCCAGGAGCGCCACGCTGCTGACATGGGTGCTGATGGCGAACTCCTTCATAGCCACAGGGGCCTTGGCGGCGCCCGCCGCCCCGAACGCAGTCCAGCGGCCGCTCCGCGATCGAGGGCGGGGGCAGAAGCCAGCAAGGGGCAAATCTGGGCAAATGATCGTCGGCCCCAGGAGAATAAGGGGCAAATCTGGGACGTTGGGGGGAGACGGAAATCCAGAAGATCTGAAAAAGATAAGGGGACTTGTTGGGATCCGTGTGTGTGTATAGATTCACTTGTGTGCCCCCTAGGCCCCCTTCCAGAAGTCGAGACGGTCGCGTCTGGTCATTTCCAGCGGCCCTGGACTACCCTCGAATCCGACGGGATTCACAGGAATCTTGATATTAAGGAATATTGGGGGACTTGGGGAATGCAGGAATCTTTGGGGACCTGGAGGGATCCGAGGGAACCTTAAGGAATCCCTTAGGTTTCTCAGGAGTCCTCAGGGTTCACCAGGACCGCGCACAACTCCGTAGTTCCTTTATCGACTGTGCCTTATCATCCGTTTCGGGGTGTCCAAGTTGTTCTTATTGTTGTTATGTGGGATCCCTCGGGTTCTATTGGAGTTCTTGAAACTCCTCGGGGTTTCAGTCTCCAGAAATATTCAGTCAGGATTCAGAAGGATCCCCTCAAGATTCCTCAGGATGCCTTCGGATCCCCTGGATCCCCTGGGAGGCTGCAGGACTCCTCTGGAGGCCCAGGACTCCCCCGGCTTTGCCATGGAGGCATCCTGGGATCGTCTTCGGGCCACGGAGTTAGCTCGCGGTCCAGTGGCCGCGGCGGGCCCCGCTGCCCCCTTTGTTCGGGGGCCCCCAAACGGTGTGGTGACCACACCGTGCGGTGAGTAGGTGGGGATTCGGGGTCACCGCATGGTTTTGGGACTCGGGTCGTTCTCCGAGGACGTCTCGGGCGACTGGGGCATCCGAGGTCCCAAAACCGTGCGGTGACGGACCGTGCGGTGAGGTCTTCGGGGGGTTCGAGGTCACCGCACGGTCTGTTTTTGTCCGAATGCTGCCGGCAGACCAGCCAAGCGGCGCGAGTCTCACCAATGTGGGCTGGGAGCCAGGGCGAGTGCCGCGTCTGCTCGTCAAGTGCTTCCCTGTCCTCCTCCTCCTCCTCCTCCTCCTCCTCCTCCTCCTCCTCCTCCTCCTCCTCCTCCTCCTGCTTGGTTGGATCGTCGTTTTCAATTTCCTACGCCTCGCCCCCCCCCCCCCAGCCTCCCCCTGCATGCCTTTTTCCCGTCTCCTCCGCCCCCTCTCCCTCCTCTTCAGCCTCCTCCTTTTATACTGCTCTAGGATGGTTGGCCCGCCACTGCAGCCCTTGGCTGTAACCTGGCGCCCATTCCGTTATCCTTCCCCGCCCCTTGCATGTTATTATTGTCTTCGCGTTCTGCCCATCCTCTTTTTTCCTTTAATATGGTTGTGTTGGATGTATTGCAGCGGCCGTTTGGGCCGTGCGGTAGGGGTTATGACATAATGTACACACACACCGCCCGATACGTTTTGTGGGCAAGCTCGTATCCGTCGCCGCTTGGTTTTCTCTTGCGCTCGCTCCTTCCTCCTCATTCTCCCCCTCTGCCCCGAGTCGGCAGCCCGACTTTCGGCCACATGCGCCGGACAGCGTCTCGCCGCTGATTGCTTGCCTGGTCAGTTTCACAACTCGGCTTGGGTCGGGGACACCTGTCCGCAGGTCCTTGATCCTTTAAAACAGGCTTCGTTATGTTAAAAAATGATGCCCAGGAACCCTACCCATCAGACTTCAGCCGGAATCCTCTGCCCGAGATCCCCAACCAAGGATTCCGCAGGATGCATCAGGATATTTCCCCTGAATTTCCCGGGAGCCTTCAGTAACCTTTTTAGATCTTTTTAGGACGCCCCAAGATTCCTCAGGAAATCCTCGAGCCCTTAAGATTATTGAGGATCCCTCCAAAGTCATCAGGAATCTTCATGAATGCATAGACTGATTGAGCTTGTTTGTTGTATTTCTGCCATGCTTCATCAGTTCGGTGTTTCCTCTGTTTGTTTGTTCCTCGGCTTGTGCTGGTTTCCGCGGTATGGCGACATCTCTCGGTTTGCGATCCCTCAGTTAGGGGGGGAATATCGTGCATGGTATGACCAGCTCCGCTGGTTGCCCAGGCCTCTAGCGCTTCTCCGTTTGCCCGTTAGCTTGCCGTCACGTCATATTCAGCTTACCTGTCACAGCGTCTGGTAGATGCTTATCTGGCCTACATTACGAATACATGCACTGGGCGTCTAGCAAGCTTTAAGCTTGCGTGTCGCTTGCCGCTTCGGTGTTGTTCATTGTGTGCCCAGCGTGGCTTCGATACTGTGTGTGAGGGTGTGTTCGCGATTGCAGTTGAGTTTGTTGTTTAGTACAGCTTGAGATGGCGGTCAATGTTAGTTTGGTTTGTTAGTCACATGCATGTCGCGTGTGTGGAGATTGCATGTCAGCTCGGTATAATGTTGCATGTCAGTTGTCAGTTAGCCGCCCTAGTGTAACTGCTGACCGCTTTATGATTACCATCGATCGCGAATCGCTTGTTGACACATGCGTTGTATTACATACAGCCTACATGTAGCTTGGCATTCGCTTGTATTTAGCTTGGCGGGCTGCCTGCAAACTCCCGCTGGCCGAAAGATTTGTGCATGTTCAGCCCCAGATGCCTGTACCTCCGCTCTGCGGGGGCAACCCCTCACCCGTCTCAATACACCTCTTGTCTGCAGAGATTGCATTTCTTTCGGGTCCGTTGTATCAGCTCTTGCCACATGTTCACTCTAGAGACTCGCGCGAGAACAAGATGCAAGAAGACATAGACATGGGAGTCCTGAGACTCTCTCGCACATACACACACACACACACACACTTGTTGGCGTCGCGGCCGCAAGCGCAGCGACGCAGTGGAGTCAGTCAGCAGAGAGCCGAGGAGTGCGACCGAGGCGTCCGAAGACACACTGCGGCCGAGGCGCCCGAAGACGCACACACACACACACACACACACACACACACACACACGTATTAGGATTCAATGGGGTCCATAGGTTCAACACAAGAGGGCAAAATTGTCGGCACGGGGGTGTATATGTGTGTAGCCACTTTCGCCTGCAGTAAGATTATTCACAGGTAATCCAAACCTCCCACTCAACTGGGAGGAAGCCCCTACTTTGGCTCGCGCTGGGCTCCTTATCCGGGGCCGAGGCCCCGCTTCCAGACGATGGTGCTCTCGGGCCGCACGTCGAGCCGCAGCTGCCGGTCGGGGCATCGGGGCCGTGGACTCGCGGCCCCCCTTCATCGCCAGCTGGTCGGCCAAGTCCCCTCGCCGTCCGAGGAGCGCCGCCGCCAGCGGCGAAGCGACGTGGGGCCTCTCCTCCGACAACGGGGCAGGCTGGCAGGAAAATCGAGCTCGCAGAGGGCTGCAGCCAGGCAGGCCTGCGAGGATACGTCGCTCCACAGCGCTCTGGAGCGCTCTGGAGTGGCCGCGGCGCCTCTCCGCCCCGAAGACCCGCAGGCCCCAAGAGATTCTCAAACTTCTCTCAGGAGGGGAAGAAACACACAGACACCATGAACCGTCGACTCCCAGGAAATATAGGAAAACATGGGACGTGGGGGGAAGACGACACCCCAGAAACTATGGGGAGACCTGGGATTTGTGTGTCTGGTTGTCTGTGCGTCCCAGGGCCCATCCGGCCTCATCCGAACGCGCCTTGTGGAGCCGCCGGGATGCTCGTGCTCGGAGTGGGGCGCGCGCCCTGGCGCACAAGGAGGGGGCCGTGGCAGGGTGGGCCCTCCGACGCGGGGGCCGGCGGAGTGTGGTCTCTGCCGCAGCCCACCCTCCGCGGCAAGCTCGCCACCTTCGGGGAGCTCTGGTACCTGGACCGGCTGCACCAGGAGAAGAGGTTGTTAGAGGATTGCTTCCTCCCCAGTCGGGTCTCTCTCTCTCTCTCTCTTTCCCTCATCATGCCTGTCTCGTTGCATTCCTATCTGCGCGTTCTCTCTCTCTCTCTCTCTCTCCCTCCCTCCCTCCCTCCCTCCCTCCCTCCCTCCCTCCCTCCCTCTCCCCTCCTCTCTCGCCCGCAAGCCCCGGCTTTGCGTCGGGTCGGGCGCGGGCCTGAGGAGCTGCCAGGGTCGAGCAGAGGGGCAGGGGAGGGGGAAACCTGAACCTCGGCGCCGCCAGTCTCGCCTCGACGCACCGCCCTTTGGCCCTTGCTTCAAGTCGGGCATGTCCCTCTATAGGGGGATATACAGAAATATTCAAAAATTAGCCTGACGAAGGGCCCAACCATATGCAGATGCGAGTACCGCATTGTGGGTACCGGTTTCGGTGGAGCTCCCTGGGGGGCCACGAACTGCGTAAGGGGTGTGCCAAAATGGGTAGCAGTCCCCGCATGCGGCCTGTGCCGCTGGGGCCTTCGGTGGAGCTCCCTGTGGGGCCACGAGCCGTGTGAGGGGTGTATCACATTGGGTGGCGGTCCCCACATGCTGCCTGTGCCATTGGGGCCTTCGGTGGAGCTCCCTATGGGGCGACGGACCGTGTGAGTGCTGTGCCAAAATGGGTGGCGGTCCCCGCATGCGGCCTGTGCCACTGGGGCCTTCGGTGGACCTCCCTATAGGGGCCACGAACCGTGTGAGGGGTGTGTGCCAAAATGGGTGGCGGTCCCCACATGCTGCCTGTGCCACTGGGGCCTTCGGTGGAGCTCCCTGCGGGGCCGCGAACCGTGTGAGGTGTGTCCCATAATGGGTGGCGGTGACGCATGAGGACGCAACCATTGGGGCGTTCGGTGGGTTCCCTCCCTATGGGGCCACGAACCATGTGAAGGGTGTGCCGAATTGGGTGGCGGTGACGCATGAGGACGCACCCAGCGGGGCCTTCGGTGGAGCTGCCTATGGGGCCACGAACCGTGTGAGGGGTGTGCCGTAATGGGTGGCGGTGACGCATCTGGACGCAGCCACTGGGGCCTTCGGTGGGGCTCCCTATGGGGCCACGAACCGTGTGAGGGGTGTCCCGTAATGGCTGGCGATGACGCATGCGGACGCAGCCACTGGGGCCTTCGGTGGAGCTCCTTATGGGGCCACGAACCGTGTCAAGGGTGTGCCGTAATGCGTGGCGGTGGCGCAAGCGAACGCAGCCACTGGGGCCTTCGGTGAAGCTCCCTGTGGGGCCACGAACTGTGTGAGGGGTGTGCCGGAATGGGTGGCGGTGACGCATGAGGACGCAGCCACTGGGGCGTTCGATGGACCTCCCTATGAGGCTACGAATAGGCTCCCTATGGGACCACGAAACGTGTGAGTGGTGTGCCGAATTGGGTGGCGGTGACGTATGCGGACGCAGCCACTGGGGCCTTCGGTGAAGCTTCCTCTGGGGCCCCGAACCGTGTGAGGGGTGTGCCGTAATGGGTGGCGGCGACGCATGAAGACGCAGCCACTGGGGCCTTCGGTGGGGCTCCCTATGGGGCCACGAGCCGTGTGAGGGGTGTGCCGTAATGGCTGGCGGTGACGCATGCGGACGCAGCCACTGGGGCCTTCGGTGGAGCTCCCTATGGGGCCACGAACCGTGTGAGGGGTGTGCCGTAATGGGTGGCGGTCACGCATGCGGACGCAGCCATTGGGGCCCTCGGTGGAGCTCCCTATAGGGCCACGAACCGTGTGAGGGATGTGCCGAATTGGGTGGCGGTGACGCATGCGAACGCACCCAGCGGGGCCTTCGGTGGAGCTTCCTACGGGGCCACGAACCGTGTGAGGGGTGTGCCGAACTGATGATGGTGATGATGATGATGATGATGATGATGATGATGATGATGATGATGATGATGATGATGGTATTGATGATCATGATGATCATGATGATCATGATGATCATGATGATCATGATGATCATGATGATCATGATGATGATGATGATGATGATGATGATGATGATGATGATGATGATGATGATGATGATGATGATGATGATGATGATGATGATGATGATGATGACGATGACGATGACGATGACGATGACGATGACGATGACGATGACGATGACGATGACGATGGTGACGGTGATGGTGATGCTGATGATGAGGAGAGGGAGGGGGGGCAGCGGGAGGAGGAGGAGGAGGAGGAGGAGGAGGAGGAGGAGGAGGGACGCGCGGCGCTGTCTCTCCAAAACGAGGACGCAACACCACAGGATGGTTGGGAAAAATATGGGGACGATTGTTCGACTGTTTTGGGATATGTTTAGAATCTGTTTTGACTAATTGTCATTTGTCCTCCAAAACCCGCCTGTAGGAGGGACACGCTCGACCTAACCCCTTGCTGGCGCTGTGGCCGCGCATGGGGCAGCTGCCGGGTCCCCGCCTGGGCCTGGCCGGGCCCACAGTTAGGCCGCCCAGTGCGCAAGGGCTTGGGGGAGGGGGGCACCGAGTCGGACGGGGCCAGAGCTCCGCAGACCATATGTATGCACCGTACCGCGGTGGCGTCGCCCGAGGCGTTGTCGATGTTCGACCCAAGAATGGTACGGTGCACAGTTTTTTGGCCCTGAGGAGCCCAAAAATCGTGCACCGTGCCACGTTGGAGCAGGGCCTGAGCGGGGTCCAGGCATGGTAATCACGGTGCATGAGCGCCGTTCTCGTACGAAAATCCGTTCCAGAGCATTCCCGGAGCGTTCCGGAACGCGCCGAGAAGGCCGCGGCGCCCGAGGATTTCCTCCAGAGCCGCCAGGTCTCGCAGATTTTCTCGATCACCCCCCCCCCGAGGCCTCGATCTCAGAGATGCTCAGAGCTCAGAGATATCTCTCGGATCTCCGAGACTCTCAGACCTCAGAGATGCTCGCTTCGGTGCCCTCGCCCTGGCTTCGTCTCGAGAGGGGGGCGGCCGAGGCGGTCGAGGGCGAAGGGGGGGGGGGGCGTCCTCCTGGCGAGGAGGGGCCTCTCGGCGGTGCTGCGCCCGGGCCCCCGCCCCCGGGGGGTGGGGCGGCAGGGGCAGTCGGGCGCGCGGGAGGGCACGGGGAGGGGCGGGCTGCTCCTTTGGAGGGGGTCCTGTCCCCCCCCCCCACCCCCCGCCTGGCCCGCCTCTCTCGTGTGTGCTCTGTCGGGTTCTCTCTCTCTCTCTCTTTCTCTCTCTCTTTCTCGATATGTATATGTATCTGGCTCTCGCTCTGCTTCTCGAGCTCTCTCTCTCTCTCTCTCTCTCTCGTTATTTATCTGTTTTTTTATCTCTCTCTCTCTCTCTCTCTCTCTATCTCTTTCTCTCTCTTTATACATATGTATAATATATATATACATACATACATACATACATACATACATACATACATACATACATACATACATACACATATGTGTATATGTGTATATATATATATATATATATATATAAGTATCCCTGTCCCTCTCTCTCTCATCATGCACATGGTAATATGTCTTTCTCTTTCTCTCTCTCTCTCTCTCTCTCGTTATCCTCCTCCTGCTCCTCCTCTCTCTCTCTCTTTCTATCCCTCTTCTCTCCCCTTGTCAGCAAGCCGTTCGATGCTGGCTTTCCAGATATGAGGTGCGCATCTACACATCCGATATTTCTTGTGCGCGCCCATGTTCGTTTTGCACAAGCGGCACGCCATAATACGTGCATTGCGTTCCGCGTGAAGTTTTGGAAGGTTGCAGGAAATATGGAGTGTACGGCCCAAATTTCGCACAGGTAGTATGAAGTATATAACCCAAATTTCGCACAGCCATGTTCGGGTTTGCAGCATAGCATGTATTGCACAGCATTGTCAAGACAACGCGTCACCGGTGCACATGGCATTGTCAAGCTGCGTCGTGTTTCCTATATTGTCCATGTGTGTTGATACGCACATCCTATATACGTCCTCTGTGTGTTTATGCCGCGCAGGAGAGGCTCAACAATGTGACGCAAAAGGTACAAGCCCTGGAGGGCGGTGCTTCCGACGCGGACACACTGCGCAGGATCGTCGAAGACAGTGTGTCACATGAGCGATGGTGTAAAGACACAGGGCGCATTGGTACCTGAATCCAGAATGATAGTAAGGGTGCATTGAGGCACTTCTTTGGGGAACGCACGCCTCAGACAGCTAGTGAGGTTTGGTAAGCACGAATCATCGAATCATCTTTCATGATTGGTTGATGTTCGAGGGTGATCAAAGTGGCGGTCGCCAGCTCTCTTGGCCTCGACACGAGCTCATTACCAGAACGGGTGCCAGGCTTCTGGCTTTAGCAATGGCTGCACAGCCTGAGACATGTCGCGAATATTGGACCTGGTGTTGGAGCCGCCAAAGTCAGACTTACTCCAGGGAGCGGTCGAGGCGACCTGCATCGGCGTCGAAGCAGTGTCACAACTTTTGGTATGCAACGTTTGGATGTGAATTCGCTGGTGACGCCTGAGTCAGGCTTCGCACCAGGTCCGTGTCTCGTCTGAGTCACTTCAGCAATCGTTGGCGACCAGTCGAGGCCATTCGGGTCGCGTCGACGGCACGCCTATGTATTTTATTGCCACGGATGCTGCATGACAAACTGATAGGCCCATTCACCAATCGCCAAACGAGTCACAGGCTTGGTTTCGGTCGACCAGCCATTGTGATTGCAATGCAGTACCAGGCATGCGCAAGTGGAAACATTTGTTCCCCAAGCAGCGCTTGCACTTACAGGTTCTTGCTTATTTTCCGAAGAGCTGGGCTGGTGTACCGGTCTTGCGGCTATGTGGCTGCGGTCGCCGCCCCGTCGCTGCTTCGTTGCCGCCCGTCGTCTGGGCCAGTGTGCTTCCCTGGCGGCTATGTAGCCGCCCCGTCGCCGCCTCGTCGCCGCCCGTCACCTGGGCCGGTGTGCCGATCTGGCGGCTAATGTTCTCGCCGTCGCCGCCCCGTCGTTGCCGTCGCCGCTCGTCGCCGCCGTTCGACTGCACAACGTAGATTGCACCGCGTAGATTGCACCACAGATATTGCTTTACACAGAGTGCACCATATGGATTGCACCGTACATCTTGGACCACCTAGATTGCACCACATATGTATATATATACTGAATCACATATAGTGTGCTGCATAAGCTGCGCAACATAGACCGCACCACACAGATAGGACCACACAGATTGCACACATAGATTGCACAACATGGGTTGCGCAACATAGATTGCACCACATCGATTCTCTTTTCCGGGTTTCTCGGGCCGGCCTCGCGCATTGCAATGTACAAAAGATTATGTTTTTTGTTCATTTTACTGATGATATCAGACCGTCCCAGCCAGGCCGGTATCGCCCCCCCCTCATCCTCGGCAAAAAACACTATGCGCGCACATTCGTTTATCAACAATCATGCGTTTTCAAAAATCCATTGCGGGCCGCTCTCGCGCGTCAACCGCGAACGCATGTCGAACTCCCTCGATCAGTATCGGCGCCGCCACTGGCCTTGCCGTCGTCGTTGTCATCATCGTCACCAGCGTCGCTACCATCATCATCGCGTCCACCGTCGTCGACGTTGCCATGCCCGCCCACGTCGCCGACTCGCATTGAAGTGCCCACCTGGGAAGTGCCCAGCGGTCAGCGCCACCGCAGCCGCGTCGGTAGCGCCAAACTATCTGGCCGCTGCGCGCGCGCGAGCACGCGCGGGCTGGCGCGGCCGCAGAGCTGCACCAGCCAAATCCAAGCACTCATCGCAATCGCCGCCGCATGGGTTTTGCAAACCAAGTTGCGGGCTGGTGGGTGCGATGATTGCGCGAGCAGTGGAGTGAGCAACTCATTGCGAACAGAAACGGATTGAATCACATTGGTCGCACCGCATACATAACACCACATGTATTGCACCGTAGGTTGCACCTCGTAGCCCACACCACATAGACTGCAGAGCATAGCTCACGCCACTTATATGTAACCACCTAGCTGGCACCGCAGAGATTGCACCACACAAATTGCACCAGGCGGCGTACACCACATATGTTGCACCACATAGCTTGCACCTCGTAGATTGCATCACGTAGGTTTTCCTTTCTGAACACGGGAATTCGGATCATCCGCCCCCCTGAGGCCGGGATTCTCTGCCCCCCTGGGGATGTGCAATTTGCATACGATTCTGCCGCATCGTTCATTCGGAATATGAATTCATACCACCCCATCCAGGCCAAATTCGTCCCCCACAACCCTTTGGGAAACAACTTTTGCGCGCACACTCTTTTATGAAAAAAGGTAGAATTCCTGGCAAAAAAAAACTGGACGATGTGCACACGCGCGCGTCGTCGCGCGCATGTTGGAATCGATCAAAAACCGCACGTTTCGCACGGATGTTAAAATCGAGCGTCCAGAAAGCATAGACACATACATGGTTTCGCAACATGATGCTTCAACAAAAAACGCGCGGGCGTTATTGTGTTCTTCGGAAAACCATTGGTTTGTTTTCAAGATGCTCATTAAGTTTGACCAAACAGGCCTCTCGCGCGCGCATGTCGAAATCATTCGAACGGGCTTGCGCCCGTGTTGGGGGGGGCGCGATCCTTGTCAAATAATTCCATGCGGACCACTCGCGCTAATCGGCCGCGCTCGCATTTCGATTGTTTTCCCAAAACCTTGATCACCAACGCATGCACACCAGCATCGTCATCGGCATGATCAGCATCGGCGCCGTCATTAGCCTTGACGTCGTCATCGTCATCGTCATCGTCGTCACCGGCGTCGCTACAATCATCATCGTGTCTGCCGTTGTCGACGTCGCGATGATACCGCGCCCGCCCGAGTCACCGACTTGCATTGAAGCGCCCGCGCGTCAGTGCAGCCTGCGGGACGCGCTGGGAAGTGCCCAGCGGTCCGCGCCACCGCGGCCGCGTCCGTCGCGCCAGGCTAATTGGCCGCTCTGCGAGCGAGCCTACGCGCTAGCGCGGCCGCAGCGACGCGCCAGACAAATTGCGGGTGAGTGGGTTGACCGATTGCGCGGGCAGTGGAGTTGACAAGTTCAGGTTCGGCAGGGCGAAGGGCACCGTATGAATTGCACCACGTAGTACGCATGTTAGAACATCGTCTCGGGCCCACGCCGGCTAATATATATATATATATATATACAGAGAGAGATGTCCATATTTGTATATGTGTATGCACATATGTGTAGATGCATGTATGTGTATGTGCATATATGGACTGATGCACGTAGATATGAATGTATGTAGGCATGTATGTATGTAGGTATGTCTGTATGCATGTATGTGTGTATGTTTGTGTGGATGCATATGTGTATGTATGTATGTGTGTATGTGTGTATGTATGTATGTCTGTGTATGTATGCATGGCTTTATGGATGTGCACATGTTTATGCCGACAGATTGCAGGGAAGAGTCCGGGCGGAGGCGCCTGGGGGGTGCGGCGCCCCTCCGCGGCCGCCCTGGAGGCAGCTCGAGGCCGCCAGGAGCCAGCTGGACGCGGTCAAGAGCGAGTCGGGGAGGCCGGTTCCCCTCGGCATCCGGGGGCGCTCCAGGAGGGGGCCTCCATGTTGGCCCACCGGCCTCCCTTCAGGCCCCCCTTCGGGCCTAGAGAGGGCCCCAAGAGGCGCAAATTTCGCCCCTCGGTCCTCGATCCTCGACCCTCCTCCTCGACTGGAGGCGGCTGGGGGTCTGAGGTGGCCCAGCATTGATTCTGGCGAGCAGGAGGGGCGGGCAGGTTCGAGGTCGGAGGTCCGGGAAAGTGTTTTTTTGCAGTTACGCCTCCAACGCAGTTTTCGGATCACGGACCGTGCAAAACGGCTCCTGGATGAAAAATTGCACTGGATGAGCCTCGGGAGGGGTCTGGGGGCCGATTTTGAACGGCTTTGAGTCCACCCTCTTTTCTGCCAAATTTTCTTGGGTTCCACCCACTGCAGACCCTCATGGTCGCCTCCAACCTCCATGGCCCGCTTCACTCCGATCGATCCGATTCGATGTCGAGTCCGCCCGATTCGATCGGGGTCGATTCCGATGTTCCGTTCCCCCAAGAGATGACAGCGCGATGGTACTCAGGGTTTTTGGAGCAGGCCTGTTGCCCGAAGAGGCGAGCAAAAGATTGGGGCGATGCCCAGAAGCAAACGTTGCCCCAAGCCGACAGCCACTGCTGTTGGGCAGGCACCCCAAGTTACAAACGGGCGACGCCCGCGGCGGCTCCGACATTGAATCCTGTTCAAAATGGACAGGAGTTGCTGTCGGCCTGCGTCTCCATTCTTTACGTCCCCGTGGTGGTCCTCCTGATCTTACCACACTATCCAGACATCCATCGCTTCGCCCGTTTACGTTGGCCCTGTTGGGCGGCGTCTTGAAGGCATCTCCGAGTTATTTTGGAGGTCTCTCCGGGCCCGCTTTGGAGCTTTTGAGTCCGCCTCGTGGGGCCGAGGGGGTCCTCTTCGAACCATCCTGGAGGACATCGATCCCTACAAACGGAATCCTCAAGCATGGCATTTGACAAATCAAGCAACTTGTTTTTCCACTGGCCCCACAGATGCTTGAGTGTATCCTCTGATAGTAGATTGCCGCTTCCTGTGCGGCTGGCATTCTTTCCCCTGCAGTGCCGATGTGTCGTGCGACATGGCTTGCGAACGAACGCTTGGAGCCCTGAATTTCGGCCGCTCTTGGGGCGCTCGTGGGCGCATCCGGTGCCGTAATGGGGCGCTTCGAGACCCGTCTCGGGGCGTCATTTGGGCGATAAATCGGAGCGGTCTTGATGCCTCAGAAACCCGTCGGATGCGAAAAGGTGAGACGGCAAAAAAAGCATTGAACACATCATGCGTCCAGCTGATGTTGGCTTCTCGGGGGGTATGAACTAGAGACTCCGTGTCCACTTGGAGCCGCCTTGAAGACTCTTGGGCATATCGGAGCCCTTCGGGAGCCGTCTTGCAGGACTTCAGTGCAGATTGCTTGGATCGGCGCTGGCATCACCTGGCGGCGCCTCCAGCGCCGCCCGTGGCGCGCTCCGCGCGCCGGGGAGGAGAATTCAGTCCAGAGTCCAGAAATCCGCGAGGATGTTCGACATGTTACTCGTATGCCGATCTTCCTTCCTATCATCAGTCCTGGCAAGCTGGGGTCGGCGGTTCATCGGGTGTGTGAAGTTGTATGAGAGCGACACGGACGGAGGGGCGGGGCGCCTTCTCATAGCAGGTACTCGCACAAGACGCCTTCATACACATTGTCATACATGCATAGATCTAAGAAGTGTGGTTTACACATCCAGCGGGGGGGATTTCCGAAGTGAAAAGGATGCTCGTGGGAATTTCTGGTGATGGGACTCTGGACTGGAGGGTCTGTTGTGGCATCGGTGGTGCACCCCGAGTTTCTTCTGGTCCTCCTCGTCAATCATCCTCTCTCCTCCTCGTCTTCCTCCTCTGTCAAAACCTCCTCCCTCCGCATCCTCCTCCTCAATCCCCTTTCCATTTTGAACAACTCCTCCTTGTCGCGCCCCCAGATGTGTAGCAGGGCGGGCCGGGCGTTTTGCTTGAGACCACCTTGCCACATATGATCTTGAAGCTCGCAACTTGCAACAGCCCCTAGGACGGAGAACAGGTGTTCAAACTGTAGCTTTCGCTTCAGCGCCGCGCACGTTCGCCCAAAAGGTTCGAAATTGCTCCAATTGTAGAGGGGCTAGTGTGCAGCGTGGCTCTCGCACTAGCGCCGCGCACGTTCGCTTTTTAAGTTTGTAACCACTTCAAGGCTGGAGAGGGGTGGTCTTCAAAAGGTTGCCCTCGCCACAGCGCCGCGCACGGTCGTCCTTTAAAGGGTCCGGAACAGCTTCAGGCATGGAGGGTCTTTGTTCACAACGTGCCTCGCGCCTCAGCACCATTCTCAAGCAGTGGCGATGCGTCCTGGCTCGCCTATGGGCCCACCAAAGAACATGTTCTAAGAACCTGTTGTGGTCTGCACGAAATGTTATTCGAACATTTCTGGCTGAGGCTGTTTTGTTTTAGCACATCGGGCTTATGTTATAAGAACACTGTTTTGTTCTTACAATATCTTATGGGTTCTGAGAGCATTTCGTGGTAGGCCTATAGGAATGCCGGGACGGTCGGCCCCTGCTCAACGTTAATCTTACAAGTTTGCAACAGTTTCAAGGGTGGAAGGCGGTTCCTTCTCGAGATGTGGTTCTCGCCTTCGCGACGCGCACATTCGTCTCAAAGCCTTGCAGCAGCTTCAAGGATGGAGGGCTGATCCGTTGCAAAAAGTGGCCCGCACCGTAGCGCAGCGCACATTGAATTCAAAAGCTTGCAGATTGAAGGATGGAAGGCGGCGCATTTTCAAAATGTGGTTCGCGCCTTAGCGAAGCGCATATTCACTTCAAAACAGTACAACAGCTTCAAAGATGTAGGGCGTTTCATGTTCAACATGTGACCCTCGCCTTAGCGCAGCGCACTTTGGTTTTAAAGTCCTGCGGCAGTTTCAGGCATTGAAGGGGAATAGTTCAAAATATGTAGGGTCAGCCCGCGTCCCCCTGGGCTGCATTCGATGTCAGAGCGCTTTACTTTAGGCCCAGACGGGTGAATGTGTTTGGCATCTCCCCCCTCGAGGAACAATACATGGCATAAGCACAAGCACTCGGGGGGCCGCGCGGATACCTTGAATCGATGCCGGGCTCCGCGCGCCAGGGAAGGGAGTCTAGCGCCGATCCAAGAAATCCGCGCGGACCTCCACGAAATCATCCAGGTATTTACGGCAAATCCCGCCACCGTGCCTGTTCAACAGCGCAGCAGGAAGGAGACTGAGTGCAGGAACAGCGCATTGCCAACGACTGGTCTGAACTGGGACGGGTCGTGAACTCGACCTCGGTTTCGTCCTCGCGGTAGGGGGGAGGTCAAGTTTACAACCCGCTGCAGTTCAGCGAGCGGTCTGAATTGAGGCGGGTGTGAATTCGACCTCATCTTCGTCCGCACGGTTAGGGAGGAGGAGGAAGATAAAGAGGAGGAGGCGAAGAGAAAGGAGGGGGAAAATAATGGCAATGGAGAGACTGCCTCATAGGGACTCTCTTTGGGGCCTCCTCGTGGGCCGTCTTAGCTGGCTCTTGGCCCGTCTGACGCCTTCGCGGACCGTCTTGGGGGCCTCTCTGAGCCGTCTTGGTGCCTTGTTGGAGCGGTTCAAGTGCCGTCTTGGGGACTTCTTAGAAGGCACTTGGGCGATCTTGGGGTCCTCCTGGGCCGACTTGGGGCCTCCTTCGGGGCCTCACGGCTTGTCTTGGAGCTATTTTGGAGGCTTCTTGGGCCGTTTTGGGCGGTCGAAAGCCCAAACAGGTGATAACTTCAAATTTGTTCAAGCAGCAATGGAGAGACAATGTGTTTCGCCTTCTCGGGCTCTCTTTGGTTGCCTCGGAGCCTTCTTCGGCCGTCTCGGAAGCCTCTCGAGCCGTCTTGAGGCCGTTTGGGAATCTCTTACGCAGTCTTGTCCCATTTGGGGCCGTCTTGGAGTCCTCGTGGCTGTCTTGGAATCCGTCTTGAGAGCCGTCTTCGCCGTCTGGGGGCGGAAAAGAGCGCCAGAAAGCCAATTCACGTGAGGCGAACTTTTAGGAGTGCGTGTTGCGGGGGGGGGGTCGGCCCTCGAAAACACGAAAAAATCTGCCAGATAACAAGACGAGCATCCTGACACGCCCACTCCGTGCAGGCACGGCGGCGAATGTTCATGCAGAGTGTTGCTCCTCTGGGCAAATTGATGTGCATGGCACTTCCCCCCGCCCGCCGCCTCTTCAATCAACGCTGGGCCGAAAGTTGTGCAAGTGAGCCCCGACTTACGCGAATTCCGGACTTCCACTCGGGTCGTCCCCCGTGAGCTTCTGGTGGGCCTTGGAAACCGCAGAGCCAGCCTTTTTGCATTTTGTTCCGAACATGTGGCTCTCCAGTACGTCAGGGGCAACGATAGGGGGGATAGGCACAGGGGGGGGATGCATCGACCCCCAACCGCCCATTGATCGCCGATAGGGACCCGATAGCCCCAACCTGCCCAGGAACATGTGGATTCTCTATCGGGGGCCTATCACCGATCTATCGGCGATATATCACCGATTCCAAGGCGATGTTTCCCCCTGTGCCAGTCCCCCCATCATCGTTGCCCCTCAGTAAGACAAAGCTGTTAAAACACAGCACACCAAAACGGCAAAGAAACAGCGCCAGAATCGGGGCCGGAACCGGAGCTGCACTCAAAACAGCGACGGAACCGGAGCAAAGATACGATCGATTCTGAAACGAATGAAAACACGGAATCTGAATAAATTGCTTGCCGCTTGCAGGGCCCATTGGGCCTTGATTTGTTCACGGGTTTCTGTCGGCTTCAGTGCCTCGTGGTCGGTTCGGCTTGTTTTCGGTCGTATTCTTGTCGTGCCCTCTTCTCCGACGTTCCTCCGTTTTCGTGATACGTGCCTCCAGTTATCTCGACTCCTTCCCCAGGGCAGCTCTACATCTTGAACCGTTTCTGAACGGCCCCAGACCGAGAAGCAGCCTTAGAAGGCCGAAGGCGTCCAAGTACATGCCGACACAGTGTGTCTTGCGCTGCTTGGATCTGAAGGTGAACGTTCTCTCTAGGTTTCAACCAACC